TGTTTATATTTAGCAATTAAGGATTTTATTTCATGAGATTGTTAAGATTCAAGACTTTCCACTAATCCAAAGTCTTTTTGGCAAGTAAAATTGTAAAATTAACAAACGAGTGGGTAATTTCTGTCTTCCAACCTTTAATGCAACTAAAAATCAAAAAACCATCAACTCTGACCTGTACTAGTGCGAAGCTTCAGATATATTTCATCACGACTCCTTCCAGATGAACCCTTGCTTAGCCTATCCTGTAGGGAATGCCGCAGAGCACCTATATACACCAAACTAAGGATTAAAGGCACCCGGAGAGACAAGAGACAGAAATGAGGAGTATTTGATAGCTGATACCAAGCACAACCTAGCCATGAAAATTAAATAAAAAAGCCATTAACACATTGCAGGAGGCCTTACTTGCAGAGACTGGTTGAGATTTATTGTCAATTTGCAAGATGATTGATTTACTACTCAGAGAACTATCCCTTGACAAATCAATGCTTATGGGAGCTCGAGTAGCACCATTTTCACCGGTTGGCTGCCAAAGAATACTGGTATTAGCAGAAGTCCACAAAAGGAAAAAAAAAAAAAAAAAAGTTGAAAAAAATATCCAAAAGCTTAATAGGATAGAACTTACAAGAACAGGATGTCCAATAAGACTGTTCAAAGCAGCAGATTTACCAGCTCCCTGGCCAGTTAAGTCACAAAATTAAAATAAAATAAATTGATTATGGATACGACAAGGTTCAAATTAAAACAAATCCAGAATTTTTGTTACGTTTCTTTATCTTTTATTAAGTTACCAACGGGTACTAGAATCTCTACTTGGGACATATGTGAAGATCTGATTGAGCAAGACCCAAGACAAAGGCCAACTGATCAACACAAAGAGGTGACAGCATAAGCGAACGACCCACATTTAAAAGGAAAGATTAAGCAATAGAAAGTAAAGCTGTGGGAAAGGCATTGAAGCCTGGAAGATACCGACCAGCTCTTATCTTCTCAACACAATTAAGATGTATAGAATTTCAAAAACAACCATCTACTTTCCCACCATTCTCAACAACTTGAATGGAACTGGTACTTAGCAGTCAAAATTAAACCAAAAAAGGAGGCACATCACAGTATATTGTTTCATGTCAAATCTAATGAGGTTCCACAAGCCTAAGTGTTGCGGTAGCTGGGTGATCTATGCTAAACAGTTGTGTTAATAGGAAGAAATTATATTCTATCTACTTGGAAAAATTAGAATTGAAGAAAAATTGTTTAGAGTCCCTATGTTACCAGGACATTCTGATTCGATTTGATTGGATTCAACTCAACCAAATGGGATCAAGAACACGTCAGTTTTCCTCTTGATTTCCTCATGAATTAGAAACTTGCTTCGTTTTCACCTTGTCCACCACACAAGCCCAAGGAATTGACGATCTCCACCTCACACAGCACAAAATACACAAGATCCAATGTGCAAACAGATAGAGAAAGACGAAACTTACGATATTACCAAGCGCGACGACATTGAGGAACGTGGAAGGACGTTTGGAAGAAGACGAGATCTCGTCGACGTCTTCATCGGCAAGCAAACCAGCACCTTGCCGCATCAAGTCTGATAGCTCAGACAATTCTTCGATCGCCTCCATTTCCTCGTAGATTCAAAACCAAAACTCAAGGAGAAAGCCGGGGAGATGAAGCTTTACAGCAAGAAATACAGTGATATCTTCGGATCTGATTCTTCTAGGGTTTCTGCAGATTCAAAATATTTGAAATTTTCTTGGAGAATTGAAAACAGAAAATAAGATGGCTTGGTTTGATTTTGAATCTCAAAAGCCATCAATTCAATTTTATATATTTCTTGTTAAGAATTTAT